AAGTTCAAAAACAGACAAAAACAAATTGATGGTAATAGAAGTCAGGATAGTAGGTACCTGTGTTGGGGGAGAAAGACGCTAGAAGGAGGTGAGACTGGTGGCCTAGCCCCTGAATCCTGTCAGCTGAACAACCGAATATAAGTGAAAGTGGACAGGGGTTCTAGATCCTTCGGGTGGCTTATATTTAAGGTGACTTGGTTTACCTGGGACAGTCTTCGATATGCCTGTTGTCTTGGCCTTCTATTGGATAGAGCATTTGTTCTGAACAAAAGTGTTCTGATCTAGATGATAAATTACATGGTCACCCCCGCTGGACCCGGTCTTCATCAGACCTGTTCCCCTTGGGAAGTGTCCATGTGAACCCTTATCTATTTGGTGTGCAACAGAAACAGAGGGCTCAGATCCTGCCCTGGGCTTGGAAGAACAGCAAGAACACAGGATTCAGCATGCCAATCTGAATTGGGCCACATTATTCAAAGAACACCAGTTCTCCACCCCGGAGAAGTCCAAGCTGACTTTGGCCTGGAGGTCCCTTGGCTGAGCATGATACCAAGGAAGTAAGATCACACTTTTTGAGGAGCCCCTTAGGCCGACAGCGGTAATAAGTGGAAAGTCCCTGGACTTCCCTCTCGGCAGCTGTGGCTCTAATTCCCTGGTCCGGAGGCTGGGAAGCCCATAGCCCCATCTCAAAACAACCCAATCTTAGTAGCTATAGGATCCTCTAGTCTCAAAGAATATACACTCATGTTCCATTTTTAGAACAAAAGCCAGGAACAGTGGGTCCTTCTTTCCGTTACTGGATAAAGGGCATTTCTCAACATTTGGAGGTGGTGTGAGCATTAAAATGATAAAGGGGACTTCCTATAATCTAGGCATGTGGGGGAGTCAAGATTCCCACTTTGAGCCAGAACGGGAGATGGTTATTCATCTTCCCGTAATGATAAACACGGGTATTCATTTATGGTGTGGCTGACGACAATGACAATGTGATTATATTATTAGTAGTATTTGTGATGGTTGATTTTATGTGTTGTTTTAACTGGATGCAGGGATGCCCACGTAGCTGATGAAACATTATTTCTGGGTGTGTCTGTGAGGGTATTTCTGGAAAAGATTGCCTTTGAATCAGAAGACTGAGCAAAGAAGAGCCATACTCACCAATGTGGTTGGGTGTCATCCAATTTGTGGAGGGCCCAAACAGAACAAAAAGTAGAAGAAGGAAGGGCAGATTCTCTCTCTCTTCTTGAGGTGGGCCATACATCTTGTCCTGCAATCCTCCGCCGGAGCTCCTGGTTCTTGGGCCAACTTCAGCTTCTCATATCCCGTGAATATGGTAAATTCTCATTTACGTTCAAGCCTTTGTATAGGCTGTCCCCTCTGCCTGGAATGCATGTAACCCTTTTGCCTGGCCAACTGCTATGTCATTAGTGGTCTCCTCTGAAGAGTCCTTGACCATCCTCCCTACCTAAGATTTTATGAAATGCCCTTCCTATAACACTTACTGCATGGGAGTCGTATGCACTTACTCCCATGTAAGCACTTATCAGACTATGTTGTCCTTCCTTCTTTACCTGGCTTCTTCTCCAGATGACAAAATTCTTGAAAGCAGGGGTTGTGTGTGAGCCATCTACAGTTTGTGCCTCTTCAAAACCTGTTCCCCCTTTTGCTAATAGCAACTCAATTTTCCCATAGAAAAAAAAATCTCACTTTCTCTGCTGTCAGTCCATGAGATTCAAATGACCCCACTCCACAGCTCAGGGATGAATGGGGGATTCAGACCCTGTGAATGAATGTATACCTCATGCTCATGGCCACAGAGGTGGGTTCCAGGATGGGCAGTGAGGTTTCTGCTGTGACTCTTAGGAATGCAAAACTCTCTTTTTGCTGTAACTGCTAATCTGAAGGATGGACACCTGGGGCTTCTGACAACCTGTGCTCTTCTTGCTTCTACATGGGGAGAGCCCACCAGAAATTTAAGGGTGGAGAAGGGAAGGCAGAGCCATAGCATGAAGCAAGATCAACTCTAGTCTAAACGAGGGCTTGGGACCCCCTTTGAAGGGCTCCTTGCAAGATATCTCAGTTCCTGCACGTGGCTTACATGCTCACTGATGGGAAAATGAGAGTCAGGAATAAATTTAGGAGAGAAAAATAAAAAACTGAGTCTTACTTAGGGAGTCTGTGCGTATCTTTGATGCCCAATGCATTCCGCATTACTATTCAGTTTGCTCAGTTGCTAACCTGATGAAAACAATGGGTTGGCTAAGATATGTGTGTGTGTGCATGTACTTTTAAAGCATGTACGTGACGGGAGGGTCTGTTCCTTTCCACAAAAGTCTTCATCATGTTAGTGTTATCAGTGGTAAATAGAGGTGAGATGTGTACTGTTCGAGATCAGGGGCTTTGGAGATAAAAACGTCTGCCAGCTGGCTCTATATATTTCAGGTGTAGAATCTTAAACAATTGACTGAGCCTCTCTGAGCCTCAGTTTCTTCGTACGTAAAATGGGAATAACAGTAGCTTCAAGCCCTTGCGAGAACACAGGAAATGGCACCCATGAAGGGCGTGGCCCGGTACCTGTTGTATCATATAGTCGGGGAAAAAAGCTCACGTCTTTTTCAAAATAAACATTTTATTTAAAAATATATTTATATATATATATATTTTTAAAAGAACACATGCCAACTTTGGTACTTTAGCCATTGCTTCTTTTCCTGGTAACCCACATTTCTTTCTGGTAAGGTATCGTTGAGCAAGGGAGACCAATGTGAACACAACACACAGATCCCCGCAGAAAATGCATGCTGGCTTTTTTCATTTCTTTGCAAAGCACCTCTTTGGGTTTCTCCAAGGGAGGGCTTCAAGCTCCCTCTTTCCTCACTGCAGGCCCACTGGAGGGGAGCTCTAGGGAGCAGGGTGGGTTCCCTTCCTTTGGAAAACACCAGAATAGCATCCAGGATCCCCACCATGATACTCCCCCTTTCCATAAACACTCAGGAGCTGTTAAACCATTTAGAGAGGAAACTCAGGTGGCCAGCGTCCACGATGGGAGCTGGTGATTAAAGAAGCATGAGATGTTCAGGAGTTTGTTGGTCCTAATCCATTGGGGAAATCACCAAATCCTAGAATCAGAATCATTACTGCTATGTTGTTGACCCTAGCGAGTCCTATTACAATTTCCCTGGTAGATAAGAGGATAGAGAAATTCTTCCCAGATCTTTCCCTGTCTTGAAATCATCTTCTTGTGCATAGTCTCAACCTAGCCAGCAGTCCTCTGAAAATGTCGATTCTAGAACGAAAGCCAGCTCCTTAGCACAACCTGAGCAGCTCTTGCAACTATAGGACCATCTTGTTCCAGGACCTGGGTTCCACGTGTCTAGTAATATCATCTGAGAAAGAACGAGCAGTCTCGGCATCTGAACCACCCAGCTGGTTATACTTGGTTATAGGAAAATGAAGACCCCAGACTCTTTTTACTCTGAGTTGGCTCATCCCTGAAAGCAAACTGTGTGCGTGCCCTAGTGGGCTTCCCACTGTGAGGAATGAAGGCCTGGAGGGGAAGGCCGAGTGCTTTTCTCCTAAGGGGCAGTGCTTACCATGGGCACCCCTCCCCCACCCCAGTGTCCCTTTTGCATAGAGAGCTTGTTATAAGAGTCAAAGACAGGGACTAGAAAAAACAGTAATAATTATAATAAAAGTTTCCTTCACCCTTCCCTGATTTTCAAGGGGCTTCTGTATCCGGCAATAAAAAACAAACCCCAAACTCTCACCGATGTTTTAAGTGATGGGGGATACAGAGAGATCGCCCAAGTACCATACGGTGGCTGTTGGATCCCAGAGACAAGAAAAAACTGGTAGTGTGGGTGATAATGTTTGGCAGAAAAGGGACCCTCTGCTCTCCCTTCTGGAAAAATGAAGACCACTCCCCCCCCCCCCGCCTTTTTTTTTTTTTTTTTTTATCAGAGCTAAAGGGTTTCTGGTTTGAGGACTGGGAGATTCCCGGTGTTCTAGTTTGTAGGAACCGCAGCTCCCCAGTCACAGAATCTGAACCATGGGTACTTTGTCTGGTTAGTAGTGGATGTCTGGGGATTGGTGCGCTTGGCACAGATCAGGTGTCAGGGAACTGTCCGTTGGAGGAGTCAACTTGATGCGGGAGCTTTCAGCCAGGTCTGCATTTGTGTCTGGAAGAGCTGATGGAGTTTAAATATATTTTGAAAAGGATTGTCTTGAATTCTTGGGATACGGTTTTTTTGGGTTTTTTTGGTTTTTTGGTTTTGTTTTTTTATATCCAGATCAGATATAAATGTCTTTGAATGGCAAAGGCCACCAGGGCACAGAACCTTGACTATTCAGGTGGAAACTCTCTGGACTTCCCTCCCTCCCTTTCTTTCCTTTTCTTCTTCCCTTCCTCCCTTCCTTCTTTTCCTTCCTTCCCTTCTTTCCTTCCTTCCCTCTTTCCTTCCTTCCCTCCTTCCTTCCTTCCCTCCTTCCTTCCTTCTTTCTTTCCTTCCCTCCTTCCTTCCTTCTTTCTTTCCTTCCCTCCTTCCTTCCTTCTTTCCTTCCTTCCCTCCTTCCTTCCTTCTTTCCTTCCTTCCCTCCTTCCTTCCTTCTTTCCTTCCTTCCCTCCTTCCTTCCTTCCTTCTTTCCTTCCTTCCCTCCTTCCTTCCTTCTTTCCTTCCTTCCCTCCTTCCTTCCTTCCTTCCTTCCTTCCCTCCTTCCTTCCTTCTTTCCTTCCTTCCCTCCTTCCTTCCTTCCTTCCTTCCTTCCTTCCTTCCTTCCTTCCCTTCCTTCCTTCTTTCCTTCCTTCCCTTCCTTCTTTCCTTCCTTCCCTCCTTCCTTCCTTCCTTCTTTCTTTCCTTCCCTTCCTTCCTTCTTTCCTTCCTTCCCTCCTTCCTTCCTTCCTTCCTTTCCTTCCTTCCCTCCTTCCTTCCTTCTTTCCTTCCTTCCCTTCCTCCCTTCCCTTCTTCCATCCTTTCTTTCTTCCTCCCTCCCTCCCTCTCCTTATAACAGAATGCGTGCTGTCTCAATAATATTGTTAGAAGCAGGGCTACTGCTAACGAGCACTATCTTAACGAGAGCATTTGCACAGATGCGTTTCCTGACTGTTGAGTAAGTTTGAACCCACGCGGCTGCAGCAACACCAGGATTAGCGGCAAACTCTGTGTCTGTTAGGCCTGCTTCACCACGGGAGTCCCAGGTATCTGGAGAAAACCACACGTGGCTACTTCCAGGCTCTAAGAGCATTAAGAAGCTCAACTGTGGCTGTCTTCAGAAGTCTCCGTACATCTCCTAGTCATGTCCCATTGATCTCCAGAAAAGAGGACACACTTAAGAGTTTAAAAGTACTTAAAATAAAAACTCCCACTAGGAGACAGATGAATTAACATGGTCTGTCTGATCCCCTGGGTGCAGCCAACTTCTCCGAGTTTCTCCCAGGTATCCCTAGTTTTATACTGTAAATGTCACATCTGATCGATGGACAGTGTGTGAATACGGAGCCTGTGGGAAGGGGCTGAGACTAAGAATCCAGGGGTCTGCTCTGTGATGCATATCAGTACTGATTAATATCCTACAAAGGTGTGTAGGCAAGTGTACAGTCTTAACAAAGTACAGCGGCTTCCTGACCAAGTCTCGTCCTTCTGCTCCAAATACCCCGAGCAGAGACCCTGCAAGTTTGTTTTCCAAAGGCGATAAGGGGGGAGAAAATAACATACAGGTCGCACAACGTGGCACAGGAAAAATGTACTGACCAGCAAGCTTTGTCAAGATCCAAATAAAATGTCAACATCTGAGGGACAAACAAACATGAGGAATGTGTTAATAAGGTCTTTCTTCCCTGGAGCTTCACCTTCCCAGAAGAGACTGGTAATGCTTCCCTCTCGATTTCTGGTTCTGATGACGGACATAAAAGCAAAACGAAAAAAATGTACCATGTGGATCTCTCAAAGCACAACGCAGGTCAAGGAATGTAAAAAACGGTTTTCGTGTCCCTTTGATGCTTTTCTACGAGAGACGGTATTTACCACTTCCAGCAACTAAGGGTGAAGCTGTTCTGTCTTTTCACATCCATATTCCTTGTCAAGATGAGCGCGTTCATGGTGAGCAAGTGGCTGTGTGAGTCTTCGGGCTGGAGCCGGTAGTCATACACAAGAGGCAACGTGTAGTCTGTTGATGAATCAGGAACTCGTAGTGAGAAAGGCCAAGTATCATTTCACAGCAAATTGGGGGCTTAAGGGCTATTGGTGTAGAATGCTCTGTAACACTGCTTTTCAAAAGACACACAAATACACATACGTGTAGACATATATACACATGCATGTATATATACATGGATATATCTACACACATATGCATACCTACCCCCCGTTAGATCTGCCAGCTTTCTGAGTAGCAGTCCCCGCAAAACACTCTGTGTTCACACATGTTTACAAGTTAACAATGGAATGATTTCTACATCTTTGGTTTATCAAAAAGAGAACTTCTAAAATCACAACATTTTTGGTTACCTTCTGCGTAAGTGCACAGTGAATTTTTTTTTTTTTTTTTTTTTTTTTTACAAAATAAGAACACAGTGCCTTAGTGGTTTAAATTAAAAACAACAACAACAACAACAACAACAACAACAACAACAAACCAACCAGCCAACCAGCAACAGCTACTCTCTACAGCATGCAACACTATGTCATTTGAGTGTTTGGAGTCCCAGCAAAAGCAGGAGGTACTGAGGAATGCACACCAGACCACTGTCTTTTCTTCCTTTCCTTGTTTTCCATGTGCAACTGTGTTTCCTTTCACGGACCCAGACCTGCAATCCTCTCCCCTTGCAAATATCATTTCAGCTCTATCTTTACAAAGTAATGATTTCCAATTTCCCCCACACCACCCAAATCACTGATTGCTGTAAGTCAAATGAGAGCAGAATGAGCTTTGGGACTGATGGGCCAAGTCACTGCTTTTTTCCCCCAAGGACATTCTTTTTTTTTTTTTTTTTTTTTTTTGCAGCAAATGATGCATATGGAGAATGAGTTCTCCGGGAGAACATGGAGTTTTAGCTTTTTAAAATATGGCTTTATTAGGATTATGGCAGCTTGTTAGATCTGAGGAGTCCTCTTGATGTTGGGGCAGAAAAAAGAAAGAGTTTCAAAAGAGGAGCAAGAAAAGATTGGTATCTTGAAAGAAAAGTTGGAGAAAGATAAACAGAGGTGGATCCCAAATCCCTCCCCCGCAAAAAAAGTTGGACCTCCATAAATCGCCATCCCGTTGTAGGAACCCATGGTATTTATTCTCGTGACACGTGAAACAAGGTTTTCTAGCACTGTCTGAATGATTCCTGGTATGGTTTGCCATCTGCTTATGTGGTCACCTCCAGTCTTTGAAACTAAAGGGGGCTGTGTTGGGGAACTTTCCATGGCAGGAGGTTTTGGGTTTAGTTTGCTTTAAGGTTCTTGGCTGTTTCCCGCTTCACAGAGACAGTGGGAGTGATCTGGTGACTGGTTGACAAAGAGGGAAATTCTCAGTGGGGTTCTGTGGACCAAATGTAGGGTCTTTGCTATCCGTGACCACACAGAGTCCTGGGTCCCGGACTGGAATCACCACAAGGGGGCAGCTTTGTGGTCCAGCTGATTTCCTTTCCCTGGGAATGGGTTGGTTCTGTCCCTCTATCCTACCTCAAGAACCTAACGGAAGTGGGGCCTGACTTCTATTTTGAATGATAAGGAGGGGAGGGATGGCAAGCAGCCTCCACCATGGGTCTATCTTCCAGAAATGTTGATGGTTATGCTATTATACTCCCTGTACTCCAAAAGAGCTCCATTTCCTTTCTGCACCACATCTAATAAATCCATGAGAGAGGCTTACGAAGCGAGAATATGCCCGAACAATGCCTGAGAAAAATCAGGGGTTGCAAAAATATTGGTGTTTGAAAAGGCAGTGAAAGATTTTTTTTTTTTTTTTTTTTTGGCATTCCTGATCTGAGAAAGCACATTTCTGAATGCATTGCTGAAATCATTGACAGTTACTGAATGTCGGTAAATATTACATCATACACATATATATAAAGACTCCTTTTTGCTCTCGTTGATGGTCACAGAAGTCTCCACTGTTTCTTTGAAATTCCCTCCTCCTCCTCCTCCTCTTTTTGGACGATAGGAGTGATTTTGGTTGTCTGCTTTTCCCCCATGGCATTCCCACTGGTCTCCCTTGGTGCCTCTGCCCACCATTCTACCACTGCTGTAAGTGAAGGTCCATGGGGGAATTCAGGTTGAGATCCGTGACATCCAGGAAATCAATGTTAAAGATGCTGGGTCCGCTGGTGCCGAGGGAGCTAAAGCTTGGCGTGGAGCTTGGCGGAGTGAGGTCCAGCCACTCCATGGTTTCCCAAGGAGATTCAGTGAAGCTTAGCGGCAGTCCACTGCTGTCCACAGAGGAGGGGGAGAACTGAGTCTGCATCGGGGAGAGGGGGCCTGCCAAGATCTCGTGGGCGCTGAACAGGTCTTCTGCTGCCTTCCCGGAGAATCCATCCATTATCCCATCGAAAGGAGGCTCTTCGCTCCCGATTTTTAGCAGGGCGACATCGCTCACCTTCCCTAAGGGGCTCTGGGAATTTAATAAGACTTCAAGGTGCTCATCGTTCTCGGTGCTGTAGTGATCAAAGGAGAGCTGGCCCCCCGAAGACGAGGGTTTGGGCAGGGCAGCCGGGGGGCTTCGGGAAGACCCGGGTATCTTGGGGACTTTTTGAAGACACGAATGATCCTCTCTAGCGTTAGCTGGCATTTCTGTTGGCAAAACAGAGTGGGAATTGTTAAACCACTTCTGGTTCCGCAATAGGGATCTTTGGGATGAAGGAGTCATGCTTACACACAAGATGGACGCGTCTCTCCAGTTATCACCCAGTCTCGTCCCTAAAGTGCCCTGTTTGTGTCCAATTCTTCTCCCTGGTCTCTCCCCAAGCCCTTTCTTTCTGGAACTTCCACTCCGATCAGCAACCTCACAAAGCAGGTCCCTTTACCTGCTCCTTCACTGACACCTGGCTGTCCCCCAAGGACACTGCATCCTCCTCACGCCCGCAGTGGGGGCTCATTTACGTGGGACCTGGAAGAGGAGTCATGGGGTGCCATGCCATTGTCACTTTCCGATTGTCACTCCAACCTACGGACTCTACTACTTTCTCCCTCCATCAGCCCCCTGGGCTCTCACATCTTTCTCTGTTGGGCTGATATTCTCCGCTCCATGGTTAGAGCTACTGTCTTATAAATATCCTCAATCACCTTGCTCTTTTCTCCTTGCATCGCACTTCCTTGGCAAAACCTCACACCCAGGGGCGCCCGGGTCGCTCAGTTGGTTAAGCGTCTGCCTTTAGCTCAGGTCATGCTCCCAGGGTCCTGGGATCGAGCCCTGAGTCAGGCTCCCTGCTCAGCGGGGAGCCTGCTTCTCCCTCTCCATCTGCCTCTCTCCTCACTCATGCTCCCTCTCGCTCTTTCTCTCTCAAATAAATAAAATCTTAAAAAAAAAAAAAAAAAAACAACAAACCCACACCTGGATGAATCTTGGTTGCAAGAGAAAAATGACACAATGGAGCTGACTGGTCTCACTTTAGATTTACGGTAACAAACCTACCAATGGCACTTAATACAGCCTAGCATCCTACTGTGTTTCTCCAGAAAATTCATTCGTGATTGATTTAGAACTGCCCTCAAATGATTCTTCTGTTCTCAAATCTCCTGTGCTCCCCTCCTGAACCCTTACCTTTGCTGACCTGGCCATATAGTTCGTTAAAAATATAAGGGTGTCTTGGGGCGCCTGGGTGGTTCAGTCGGTTGGGAGTCCGACTCTCGGTTTCAGCTCAGGTCCTGATCTCAGGGTCTCGAGATGGGGCCCCAGGTCGGGCTCTGCCCTTGGCGGGGAGTCTGCTTGTCCCTCACCCTCTCCCTCTGCTCCTCTCCCTGCTCGCTCTCTCTCCCCAAAATAAATAAAATCTTTAAAAAAATATATAAGGATGTCTGATATCACCCTCTCCTCTTTCCACTGCAAAACGTATAGATATATATGCCCATCTTTTCCTTCTTTCTCTTGCTACAAGGGAGAAATTGCTGGTTCACTTGACTGTTGTCCATTCTGCCTTACCAGACTCTAATCTCCACAAAGGTGGGGACTTTGTCAGGTGCAGCACTGAGCCCAGTGCAATGCCTGGCCACTCCTTCTCCCAACTTACAAGGTTGTTATCGAAAGGCTCAGACCTGAGGATTTTTTTGTTTTTGTTTTTGTTTCTATCTACATGTTCTCTTCACAAAATCTTATTCATCTGTGTGGTTTCAGATTCTGGGCACATACCATGTAATTTTGAAAAAATAAATGAATGACTAAAAAGGAGGTGAAAAGAACATGTTGGTCTTTTTTTTTTTTTTTTTTTTTTTTTTTGGGTTGCAAGCTGGAATGACATCTAAGCATGAATGGACCATCCAGTGGGAGATAAGTAATTGAATTTCATTTTGAGTAGGTAGCACAAAACTTGCTTTGTCTGCTCTCTTATTATTAATTAAGAGGATAGGGAGATTGGGATTAGAAAGGCAAAGAGGAACGGAGTTACAAGGGAAAACACTTAGGGAAACAGGGACCGAGTTGAGGACACCAACTGGTAAAATGCTGAGCAAGCCCCTAGGGACAGAGGGACAGAGTCAGGGAGGAATCACCCACTGGACCTTCATACATCTGCTCCAGCGTGGACAGCGAGCTCACAAGAAGTGACACTTGACCCCCTTATGGCTTTTGGGTCTGACTTCCTGTGAGCACCTGACCTTGGTCCTAAGGGTTCACTTCCCAGAGCACAAGCAGGTGCAGAGTATCCCCGGGGCAGTCTTACCTCCACTTTCAATGAGGACATCTAGGAGCTCATCCATCTGTTGACTCCGAGTCATTTGCTATTGCAAATTAAGCAGAGGAGAATGGACAAGTAAGAAAGTTGGCCACCTCTTCCGTGGGAGATCGTTAGAAGCAGCACTACAGATTTTTCGAACTAGGTTTGGTTAAGGTGGGTTTTTTTCCTTAATTGCGGAAAAATACACATGACACAGAATTTACCATCTTCATCATTTTTAAGCATCTGGTCCGGTGACATTAAGTACATTATGTTCACATTATTGTGTGACCGTCCCCACCATCCGTCTCCAGAACTTTTTCATCTACCCCAACTGCAACGCTGTCCCCATGAAACATGAACTCCCCATCCTCCTCCCCCCCCAGCCCCTGACGATTTCCATTCTGCTTTCTGTTCCCATGAATCGGGCAACTCTAGACACCTCACAGAAGTGGATTCACACAGTGTATTTCCTTTCATTACTGGTTTACTTCACTCAGTGTAATATCCTCCGGGTTCATCCATGTTGCGACATGTGTCAGAATCTCTTTCCTTGTTAAGACTGACTAGTATTGGGGCGCCTGAGTGGCTCAGTTGCTTAAGCATCTGCCTTCAGCTCAGGTCAGGATCTCAGGGTCCTGGGATCAAGCCCCACATCAGGCTCTCTGCTCAGCAGGGAATCTGCTTCTCCCTCTCCCTCTGTCCCTCCCCCCTGCTTGTGCGAGTGCTCTCTCTCTCTCTCAAATGAATAAATAAATCATCTTTTAAAAAAAAGACTGACTGGGCACCTGGGTGGCTCAGATGGTTGAACGTCTGCCTTCGGCTCAGGTCATGATCCCCGAGTCCTGGGATCGAGTCCCGCATCGGGCTCTCTGCTCCTTGGGAGCCTGCTTCTCCCTCTGCCTCTCTCTCTCTCTCTGTCTCTCATGAATAAATAAATAAAAATCTTTAAAAAAAAATAAAAATAAAAAAAAGACTGACTAGTATTAATTGTATGTATTCACCACATTTTGGTTAACCATTCATCCATGGACGGCCACTTGGGTTGCTTCCACTGTTTGTGAATAATGCTGCTGTGAGCAGGACTATAAATGGCTGACCGCACGACTAAAGCTCAGTGTTCACCTCAGACTGGAAAACTCCTGAACGAAACGAGAGAAGGGGGGGAGAAGGCAGAGTGCTCCCCAGGAGAGTCCTTCAGGGTGAGCTCGGTGGAGTGGCTTCCATCCCAAGAACAGGGCTTCTTAATACAGAGAGTACAGCCATTTTTCTCACTCTGAAGCGACTCGGATCTGCCTCCCATGTGGGGGCTGTGGTTGTGGCCCCAGCATGTGGCTCAGGCTTTCCTGGTTCCTCACTGAAAGAGCCCTGTGGCACCTGTTGATGCTCGTAGGGCAGGCATCCCTTCCCTCTGGCTCATCTCAGTTGTACGGTAGAGTCTCATTCATGGAAATCCACTTGGCTTGACCTTCTTCTTTTCTTTTGAAACTACAAAGGATCCATGGATGCTTACAGATACCAGGGGCAGAAGACGGGGAGGACGGGGGCCCATACCTCTCTCACGCTCTTGAGAGCCCACTCCCAATACACAAAGGCATCAATAATCAATATGATGGGAGCACTGCTCAGAGAATGAGTCACCTACCAGTCCAGAAGGCATCAGATGTCCACAGGGTCTGGCAGGTAATGTAAATGAGCCGAACAGAGAGCAAGAGAGAGGGGTAGAATGTAGACCCCTCGCTGTGGTTCTAAGAGGCTGTGGATACTCTGTTTCAGGCAACTGTCCGCTCCCAGAAACGTGGCTCCACCATTGGGAGATCCTGACTTTTCAGGAATGAGAAAGCCCACTTTTCGCCTAAAATCTCCTGACATTTAAAAATACTCTTTAAGGGCGCCTGGGTGGCTCAGTTGGTTAAGCAACTGCCTTCAGCTCAGGTCATGATCCTGGAGTCCCGGGATCGAGTCCCGCATCGGGCTCCCTGCTCAGCGAGGAGCCTGCTTCTCCCCCCTCTCATGTACTCTCTCTCATTCTCGCTCTCTCAAATAAATAAATAAATCTTAAAAAAAAAAATACTCTTTAAGCCACGTGAGACCTAGCTGCAAGCTGATTTTGATCTGGGGGACGCCAGCGTGCAAAAGTTGACGTAGCTCTTCCTTGCGAGGTTGGGCACATGCAAAGGGCCTTCTCATATCTTATCCAAGCTCAGACCGTTTGAAATATATGATCATTCACTGCTTTCCTTTCTTTGGAGTTTACTTTTTATTTGGAACATTTCCCACCATAAATGGCAGCAAGGCATACAACAGACCTCCATGAACATGGTCATCAATACTTTGCCTGGATCACTAAATTCTGAAACTAACAAGAACCTTATACAAAGTATCACCTTAAACAAAGTATCACCTTATACAAATTATCACCCTGACAACGGCTCTCCTCTATTTGAGCACCTACCCGGTGCCTGGACAAGTTAGTAAGTGCTACACTCTCTAGAATCCTTACAAAGCAGATATGGATCCTATTTCACATAAGAGACGTTGAGCACTTGTCCAAGCTTAGTAACAATGGTGGCTGGCTGCTGACATTAAATAAAGGCACCTGGGTGCCCAGCCCAACCTCTTCTCTGCCTGCCTCACACACCCGCTATGTACACCCAACACCTTTCTGCAATTAGCGTCTAGACACTTGGCCCATTCTCATCGAGGGGCTCCCGATGCACTCAATGTCAGCATCTACAGACTGCGTGAAGGTGGATAATGAAAAAAAAAATCCGTTTAGGCTACCTGTTTCCCTACAGAGAACACATCTTGCAAAGTTACCTGCTTTACGGCATCTTCATAGGACGGAGGCTGGGTTATCTCTGGAACTGCTGAAGTTGACTTGGAAAACGTTGGGGATGGAATGGAAAACTTTGGCCCTGTCTTCTCAGAAGAAGAGTGTAAACCAGCCATCTGTGGGGGTACAACGCAGAGAAAGAGAGTCAACTCGTGGGGTCAGAAACGGTACGGCTTCTGTGTTATAAACTCCAGGCTTGAGTTTGGAAAAACTGATTTGAGGGCGAACGAAAAAGAGCTAGGGTTTAGAAACAACCCCAATATATTGACAGTAGGACACATCACAGGCATCCTATTGACAATAGTACATATCGTGGGCATATCACGGGCGAATTGTAGCCCATATCTGGAGGCACGTTAGGATGGGAAACTTGCAGATTCATTTTCCCCTCTAGGATGAACCCTGTTCGGTTAGGAGAAAAGCAAATAAAGTAAGAGTGCAGTCCAATATGAAAAAGTCCATCACCTCAGGAATTCCCAGGGTACTTTACCCTCCCCCCTTCCCCGGGGAGGCGTTTCATTCCTAACTGGGTGCATTTGCAGAGAGATGGAGCCACTGCTGGGGTATCTCTTTAGGAACCAGCCTCATGTACTGTGAGTGTTCTATGGAATGCCAGGGCCATTTCAGGATCTCTGTCCCCAAAGGATTCCCTGCCTGTCCTTGTGGCATGTAGCGCTTCTGTGTCATGGCCCTCCTGTTGGTCTCCTTGTCACCTCTTCGTTAGTCCTTGGAACTCCGCATATTCCGGCTCCCTCCCATCCCTGATTTCCACCTGCTGGGATGTATCACCTTTTCCTTTTTCCACTGAGAGACTGCCCCATGACTCGAACACTCTGCACCTTTCTAGACCTTTCTAGACCTTTCCACCTTAACACTCTTTCTCGAGTGTTAGTTCCCCACGTGCCTCTATTCCAATCTTGGACTCCACGGAAACTGGTGTGTTTGCCATGTTGTTTCACAAACAGACCACGCTCACATTAGTCCTCATGATTTGCAGGATAACCCCCAGCAATGGCACCTCAGTACACCTAATTTCTATCTGTACATTCATGTCAGTCTGTTTCCAGTGGATTTGTTTTTATCTAAAATGTCACTGATTTCCGCCTTTGGACCTCCTCATTCGGAGGACGGGGCCACAGAAGAGGGAAAGAGGCCAAGTTTAAACCTTTTTCCAGGCGCCTACCTTTTGCTGGACCCCTGGGCTTTTGGGACGAGGGGTGCCCCCAGCACCATGACTGCTGTCTGCCTGGGCTCCAGAGAAAGGGGGGTGGAGGCCGGAGGGCTGGGGAGAGAAGCTTGCAGGATGGCTCTCATGCCCTGAGTTCTGGAAGGAAGAAACGACCAATGAGGTAGCCTCCAGCAGTACACTTGAGAGCTTTGGCTGAGACTCCTGGTCCCTGCCCTGGTGTCTTATCTTTTCAACTCTCCCTAAATCCCATTATCAAAGTCTCAAATCTGGCTTTGTACGTATCACCCATTGCTCAAAAACCTTCCATGGCTCCCATGCATCCACAGCATAAGGTCTCCACCAGTAACGTGTTCGAGATGCTCCAGGCCAGGTATCATTTCCTTCAAAAGCTTGTATTCTATTAACTTCCCTCAGCATGCCCTGCACATTGTACTTCCCTATCTTTTCCCACATGGAATGTTCTTTTTCCGACTCTTGTTTTTTAATGCTACGTTTCTCATGGAGTCTAACCCCTTTGCAAAACCTTCCTGGACTGGCCTCCCCCCACCCCAAAAAAGACCTTCCTGGATCTTCCTAGCCCTTCATGACCAATCTGCTTCCCCCCACCTTCCCCCAACACTTCGTGCAGCATTTGATACCAGAAGCACTGATCAGGCATGTTATTCTGTATTGCTCTTTATCTTTTTATCATGTTTGCCTAGGACACCGTGCACTGAGTAAATGTCAACAGAGATGACAATCCATGTGACGTCCCAGCCCCTCCCAGAGTGCCCACTCAGAAGTGGGCATCATTCACTTGGATGTGCTGTTCTGGGGTGTGTAAAATCATATTCCCATTACCTATGGCCATACCCCATACTCCCAGGGTAGAGAACGTTCAGTGGGAAAAGGGCATACATTTTAGCATCAGATAACCCTGGGTTCCTGTGACCCTGGGTTCCTGGGTTAACCTCCTTGAGCTTCATTTTCTTCTGTGGCAAGTAAAGAATAAAGAATTGGAGCTCATAAGGTTGTGACAATTAACGAGATTACTCAGAGGCATGCCTCTTAATACTGGGCACGTGGCAGGATCCAATCATGTGGGTTTTCTTCCTATTTTCCTTTCTCATAAGGTAGATTTCAGAACTTTTGATGATGTAATTTTCTTTCTCAGCCTTAGGTAGATTTTCCTAATGATTTTTTAGCTTCGTGGACAAGGAAAGTCTCTGATGATCACCTTGGTCGAGGCTTTGAAGTAGTTACTGCCGTAAGCTCTCTCTACAACCACCCCTCATTCAGCTCCAGCCACACTGGTCTTCCTTCTGATCCCTGAATATTCCACACACAACTCCCACCTCGGGGCCCTTGCTCTTGCTATTCTTCCTTTGCCTGCAACCTTCACCCCAAATATTCATGAGGCTTTCTCCCTTATCTCTTTCAAAGAGTGGCCCCAGACCTTGACTTAAAAGTTGCAAACTTGCAAATGCTCCATCACCATGCCTCCCTGATTTTTCTCCATAACATCTATCATCCTTTAAGGGTGCTTGGGTGGCTCAGTCGGTTAAGCATCTGCCTTTGGCTCACTTGGGCTCATGATACCCAGGTCCTGGGATTGAGCCCCACATGGGGCTCCCTGCTCTCCTTCTCCCCCCCTGCTCGTGCTCTCTCTAGCTATGTCTCTTTTTCTCTCAAATAAATAAAATCTTAAAAAAAAAAAAAAGATCTATCATCTTCTGATACATGATATATTTTATGTGTTTATTTTATTTACTGTCTTCCCATGAGAATGGGGATTTTTGTTTGGTTAGTTCATCCCTCATCCCCAGAGACCACACAGTAGCGTTGGGAAAATGTTTGCCCTATGCAGACCATTACACGGAGAGAACGGTAAGATCTGGTAACTTCCCGTTGGCTCTCTTGATAAACTGGTTTGGCCTCATAGGCACAATATTCATTATCCAGCCTTTCCCGGCCGATGTTGCCAACCTCAATCTCAGAGACGAGAGTCTCCCTCCCCTCTACGGGGAGGACCAGAGGTTGCTTCTGGGCTTCCCCTAAACCCTGCGCGTTCAGACTTCAGCTCTTGAGCCTTTGCCGAGCCACACCCCACTTCGGGAAGGCGGGGGGCTCTTACCTGTGCAGCGCATACCTGGTTGCTGGCAGGTGAGGCGATCCTGTGCCCGTCCCCCTGGGCGCCCGAGGAGGGGGGGAGGAAGTAATGGTTGTTGGGGGATGGGGGCAAACTGATGTGCTGCGGGCTTTTGACAGCGCCCAGCGGCGAGCGCTGAGGGGAGCACTGCGGGCTGAGGAACGTGGACGGCAGCGCGTCGCCGGGGCCCGAGGCCGGCTCGGCGCACGGAGCGGGCCCCGGGGGCCGGCGCCCCGCCGCTTCGCAGGCCTGCGCTCGGCCCTCGGAGCCGAGGCCCGGTCTCTTCCCAGGCCTCTGCTGGGGCGTGAAGGGACAGCCGGGCGCGGCGTCCTCCTGCTTGACGGCGACGGCCAGGAAGGGCGGCGGCTTCTCGGCGCAGGGGCTCCTCTTGCGCTTCTGCAGCTGCAGCCTCAGCTCCTCCACGTGGCGCTGCTCCTGCTGGAGCTTCCAGGTGAGCTCGTTGATCACCTTCTGCTTCTCCACCAGCATCTTGTCCTTCTCCGAGTCCAGCCCGTCCAGCTCGGGGCCGAGGGAGCCCCCGTTCCGGCTGCTCAGGAGGCCCTCGTCGGCGCACGCGGGCAGCGGGGACGGGTGCAGGCAGAGGGACGGGGACGCGTCGTTGAAGGGGTCGGGCAGGGACCCCGCCGCCGACAGGTCGGACGAGGCGGGCGAGATCGGGGGGCTGGAGCTGGTGCTGCCGAAGTGGTAGAAGCCGCTGGACAAGGCGCCGGCGGACGGGGAGGACTGGTAGCCCGGCAGCGCGCCGCTGGGCGTCACGGGGAAAGTGACCGTCGTGATGTCCCCGAAGCTGGCCAGGGGCGCCCCCGAACAGTCCTGGAAGGGCCGCAGACGGTCCATGAGGGCCGTCTTGGTGCCCGACACGGGCAGGCCGCGGATTCGAAGCTGCTGTCTTAATTCCGAGACCTACAGAAACCAGGGCGTGCTTAGAGCGCCGGTTAAGAACAATCTTTAAAAATAATGAATCACATTCGCTTTCAAACATCCCACGTGGAATTTTACAACATCCGCTTTTCTATGATTTGCTTACAATCCCCCCCCCTTCCCTTGGTATCAGTAGGCTTGTGCACCATGCTTTTTTTCTTATTTTCATGATCCCAGAATCCTAGAAAGGCATAGCCCACACGAACCGTAGAGGTCGCCTACTCTGCTAGCTTCCAGCCCCCACCCTGGCCCTCGCCCCTTTCTACAGATGAGAAGACTGATCTCTGCCCAGGTTTAGCCATCAGCCAGCAACCAATCATCCCAAAGCATGCTGAGACTCCAGGTCTTCTGCTCCTAGGTCACCGGTCTCCCTGCCCGGCTCTCTCTGTCCTTGGTTCTCCAACTTGAGCAGGTGCATTTTTAACGGGTTCCCAGGGGATGCTGATGCACTGGTCCCTGGACCAGGTTTTGAGAACCATGGTTCTACATTAACACTTATGTCCTGTTTTGTTTTTTTTTTAAGATGTATTTATTTTAGAGAGAGAGTGAGCCTGAGCATGGGGAGGGGCAGAGGGAGAGAGAATCTTAAGTGGATTCCCTGCTGAGCATGGAGCCCGACACAGGGCTTGATCCCACCACCCCAAGATCATGACCTGAGCTGAAACCAGGAGTCAGAGGCACAACAGACTGAGCCGCCCAGGCGCCCCACATACGTCCTAATTTTAATAACTGGCTAGATGATAGTCATATACTGAGGAAGACTGTGCCGGGATAAGACCATCAGTTCAAATCCCGACCTTGCCTCTTACTAGATCACTTTGTGCCTTGGTTCCCCTTCTGTAAAATGGAGACAGTCATAGCGACCTTATATGTTTTTGTGAGGACTGAAATGGCTCAACATTTGTAAAGTGCTTGGAATAGTGTCTCGCAAATGGTTAGTGTGGTGTAAGAGTTTGCCATTATTATGTTGATTCACGTGTGATAATTTCATCCTGCATTTTTTACAATGTTCATAAATGATAAGCTGCAGATATCTAAAAATATGGGAACTAAATTAACGATCATGACTATGAATGATGGAATACCTGAATCCATTAAAGCTGATGTTATATGTAATAATGAGTAATTATTTATGGTATACTATTTTTTCTTGATTTTTAAAATTTGAGAGAGAGAGAAAGAGAGAGAGAGCACAAGCAGGGGGAGGGACAAAGGGAGAAGGGCAAGCAGATTCCCTGCTGAGCAAGGAGCCGGATGCAGGACTCGATCCCAGGACCCTGAGATCATGATCTGAGCAGAAGTGAGACACTCAACCCACAGAGCAACCCAGGTGCCCCCCCTGTTTTTGGTATATTATTAAATGAAAAACAGTTTGAATTGTTTGATTCTATTTTTCTAAGAATTATATAAATTTGTATGTATGTGTGTGTATATTTAAACCTATGCTTGCTGAGGAAAATATGTAGATAAAGATAGACTAAAATGTTAACAATGGTTCTCCTTATCTCTAACATCCTAAATATTTCACATAAGATATTACTTTTGTAATTAAAACAAGAAACATTAAATATCTAAGTGTCAATAATCCCATAAAATACTTGAAGAACAAATAGGGAAATGTCCTTCTGATATTCTGTAGGGAAAGATCTTTTGAGCCTAAAAGCAAAGAAAGCAACTTTAAAAATACTGAAGACAAAAATAAAAAACCCCTCTAAGTCAAAAACACCAAAAAGAAAATGAAAATGCAGATAGCAGTCTCAGACAAAAATAATTGCAGGACAAATAATAAAGTGTTAGTAAGCTCGATGTACCAAGTGTGCTTTAACAAACCCCCAAAATAACCAACACCCCAAAATGGGTAATGGGCATGGTTCAACTCTTCACAAACAAAAGATACATTTTTATTTATTTATTTGAGAGAGAGCGAGAGAGAGGGAGAGCACGAGCAGGGAAGAGGAGCAGAGGGAGAGAGAGAGAAGCAGGCTCCCCGCTGAGCAGGGAGCCCCATGCGGGGCTCGATCCCAGGATTCTGGGATCATGACCTGAGCCAAAGGAAGACGCTTCACTGATTGAGCCACCCAGGTACCCACAAAAGATACATTTAAAAAAAAAATGGCAATAATGGACATGTACTAGCATTAGTAATCCAAATAAAATAAATATGGACATATTTTTGCATTCATGAAATTGACAAAGGAATTAATAACACTTTGTGTTAATGAAGTATCAGCAAAAATAAGCAAATAAAAATGTTTTTTAAAGAAAGTTCCTTAATACCTTGCTATTCCAAGTGTGGTCCTTGGACCACCAGCTCCAAGGGCATCTGGGAGCATGTTAGGAATGCAGACACTCAGGCCCCCTCCCCACACCTACTGAATCAGAATCTGTATTTTACCCAGAGCCCCAGGTGATCCAGTGTGTATACTCATGCTTGATAAATGTTGCCGCAGCCCAATGCTTCTGGCAGTAGATTGGCACAAACGTTCAGGACAGAAATTTTTACAATATGTATTCTTTGGCAAGAACTTTAGTATTTTTTTTTTTTTTTAAGTAGGCTCCATGTTCAACACAGGGCTCGAACTCACAACTCTGAGATCAAGACCTGAGGTCAAGAGTCAGATGCTGTACCGACTGAGCCACCCAGGTGCCCCTGGCAAGAACTTTAAAATATGTTAATATGTTTTGGTTCAGGAATTCTACTCCCAGGTATTTAGCCTGGGACAGTCACTGGATACATCAATGAATTTATGTACAAATTATATTTTTAATAGCAAAAATTTGGAAGCAAGTTAAGTGTCTGACACAGGACTGTTAACTAGGTGGTAGAATGATACGCTATGAAAAATAAAAATTCTGGGGCGCCTGGGTGGCTCAGTCGGTTAAGCGTCTGCCTTCGGCTCAGGTCATGATCCCAGGGTCCTGGGATCTAGCCACACATCGGGCTCCGTGCTCAGCGGGGAGTCTGCTTCTCCCTCTGCCTGCCACTCCCCCTGCTTGTGCTCTCTCTCTGACAAATAAATAAATGAATAAATAACATCTTAAAAAAAATAAAAATTTTATTGAACATTGCAAGTTATGAAAAATGCTTATGATATGTTAAACAAAAAAGCATGTCAGAAATTCATGCTCACAGGATTACCTTACAGCAATAATTAAAAAAAATTTTTTTCAACAATAATTTTTAAAAGAAAACAGGTCCACCTGTATTTTCAGTTTATAGGGAAATAAAATCTGCAATGCTATCTGTGGGTCAATTATCTTTTAAAGATTTTATTTATTTCTTTGACAGAGAGAGACACAGCGAGAGAGGGAACACAAGCAGGGGGAGAGGGAGAGGGAGAAGCAGGCTTCCCGCGGAGCAGGGAGCCCGATGCGGGGCTCGATCCCAGGACTCTGGGATCATGACCTGAGCCGAAGGCAGACGCTTAACGACTGAGCCACCCAGGTGCCCCTGTGGGTCAATTATCTTTTAAAATACTCTTTATTTCTACCTGCACTATCCTGTCTCAACAGTAAATAACTACTTTTATAATCATTTAAAGGGTATTTTAAAAGGATTACAAGAATTCACACTATTGCAAGCGGTAAATATAACCCCCCCCATCTTTCTGGCATTGTTTTATCTTTTTTTTTTTTTTTTTCAGATTTGCTGGTTTGAAAAAGTACAGAATAGCAACTCATTATTGTTTTAACTTTGAATTACTTAAAATTAATGAGTTCTACATTTATTTTTAGAATCTGTTCTGGCACTGAATATTTTAAACTACATCATTAAATAATGCAGCTCATATTCCAAAATAACACAAATACTTGTTGCGTTCATGTACCTTACATTTCGGAGTATTATGCTGTGTGGGCTTGCTTGGGACAAAGGTTTGCATACACCTCTTTCCTATACTCACTGGTGTTTTAATCGCCGATCACTCTTTCAACCATGTGTTATGGAAATGTGTATCATACACAAAAGTTGATGAAAAAAGTATAATGAACCTCATGTACCCATCAACCAGCTTCAACAATGATTAATCCATGCCCAATCCTGATTCATTTATACCCTAAACCACTTCCACTATATTTCCTAAATTATTCTGAAGCAACTCATATAATGAGATCTGTAAATATTCTGGTATCTTTCTCTAAAAGATAAGTGCATTTTATAAAAAATGCCAATAAAAGACCATTATCACACCCAAAACACATGAATAACTATTTCTTAATATCCATCATATTTTCCCAGTTTTTAAATTTCCCATTATTTTCTCTCTCTCATGCTGTCATGCTCTCTGGCTCTCAAGTTTCTTAGAAACAAGAAAAAAAAATCCATATACTGGATTAGCAAAAAAACAAAAAACAAAAAAACATATACTGTGATGTTACCATGTATAACTTTAAAAACAAGATTTATTTATTTATTTGAGAGACAGAGAGAGAGAGTGAGCAGGAGCGGGGGGCTGGGGCAGAGAGAGAGGGAGAATCTCAAGCAGGCTCCCTGCTGAGTGCAGAGCCCAACACAGGGCTCAATCTCACAACCCCGAGATCATGACCCTGAGCCCAAACTAAGAGTCGGATGCTTAACTAGCTATGTCCCCCAGGTGCCTGCCCCCCATGTATAACTTTTTAATGAGAAATCAAACTTTCTTCCCAGTGCTTTTCCCCTTTTACTCCTAATCAGCAAAACATGAGCATTTTGGGAGAACATCGACCTTCGATACCTTATCTTTCTGATGACCTGTTTTAAGGGTCACCTTCATTAATTCCTCCTATTTCTTCCTTTTCCAAGGTACGGTTATATCACCTGTTTCCTTTATTCCTCTTCTCTCCTTCTTCCCTTCCCACTCTTTCCAATTGCTCTCCTTCCATCTCTTTCAGTCTCGTGGCTTTAACCCACCCCGCTATGCAAACGATGCCAAAATTTCTGTGCCCAGCCTGACAACTAGGTCGGTGTGACTCTAACTGCATGGAGATGGGCTAGACTTTTCCTCTTGGTTGTCCTGGTGGTAACTGTGACTCAATTTCCCCAAACTGAATGCACCTGCCAACATCCCTTCAGATCAGCTCCCCATTCTACCCTCCCAGTTTCTGCCCCTGGTGTCACAATCCCAGGTGACACCTCTCCCCATACACCCTGTGGTCAAGTCCAATTAAGGTTTCTCCTTCTCCATCCTCATTTCGAATGACAGTAGCAAAACCTTTGAGATCACTGAATTAAAAGAAGTACTACTCTCCAATCCAGTAATCACACTACTGGATATTTACTGAAAAAAATACAAAAACAGGAATTCAAAGGCATACATGCACCCCTATATTTAGAGCAGCATTATTTACCATAGCCAAATTACGGAAGCCGCCCAAGTGCCCATTGATAGATGAATGGAAAAAGAAGATGTGGTGTGTATATTACTCAGCCATAAAAAAGAACGAAATCTCGCCATTTGCAACAACATGGATGGAGCTAGACGGTATAATGCTAAGCAAAATAAGTCAGTCAGAGAAAGACAAATACCATGTGATTTCATTCATATGTGGAATTTAAGAAACAAACAAAACAAGCAAAGGAAAAAAAAGAGAGAGAGAGACAAACCAAGGACAGACTTTTAATCATAAAGGACAAACTGATAGTCACCAGAGGGGAGGTGGCGGGGCGATGGGAGAAATATGTGATGGGGGTCAAGGAGTGCACTTGTGATGAACTCTGGGTTTTGTACAGAATTGCCGAATCACCATATTTTACACCTGAAACTAATATAACACTGCATGTTAACTATACTGGAATTTAAAATAAAATAAAATAAAATAAAATAAGAAAAAAAAATCACTCACTTAAGTGCAAACCCCAGTTTTGTCATCTATAGTCGGGTTAACTTGCATAGCATTTGGCCTCTGTTTCTGGGGGTGGGGGTTAAGCAAGACATTTATTCACTTAGTATATGATCTTAGTGCACTGTATGTCTATAGTATAAACCGTAAACTCACAACCGATCGACACTCAAACTTGACAATGTGCGACCCATGTAGGGATGTGAGGTTGATGTGATAAATGTCATATGTCTCCCAAATATAACTCCAGACTTCCTACTTTAACTTCTTAAAATACACCAATCAATGTTACCAGAGAAACTAAAGCCAAATCTATGAATTTACCAAACTTATTTATTCTGTAAAGATTCTTAGGCTTCTACAGAAGGAGATGTAAGTCTATTTTTAGATGTCAGCATTCTGGATTGACTTGTGGGCTCTGGAAACATAGGACGAAGTTGTCAAATGAACGGATGAAATTGGGATGGCTTCTCCAAGTGGGGGAGAAAATGTAGAGATAAAAGAATCTCTTTTACATGTTAACCTATGTCCTGATAGAACCAACATATTTCTCCCACTTTTCTCACCTGAGCTGTCAGGGTTGGTGTCAGGTATATCAACAGTATCTTTCTTCTAGGGGAACCTGGGTGGCTTGGTTGGTTAAGCATCTGACTTCGGCTCAGGCCATGATCTCAGGGTCCTGGGATCGAGCCCCGCGTCGGGCTCCCTACTCAGCAGGGAGTCTGCTTCTCCCTCTGCTCCTCCCCCCACTCATGCTCTCTCTTTCAAATAAATAAATAAAATCTTAAAAAAACCCCAATATCTTTGTTCTATACAGCAAACTGTTTTATAGCATTCATGATAAAGATAAATATCAAAAATATCTAGGATGATAATGAGTTATATGCCTTATTCATTTAGCATCTTTGAGGTCCTGATTTTTATGTTCACATGTAAAACCTATCTTGCAGGGTGAAAATGGAAGCAAATCTATACAGGATGGTCGACTGATCGTTTACATTCAGAAACTGGCAGCTGCGACCCCCATCATTTCCTAGTACCCCTGCTAATTTATTATTATATATCGAACCAGCCAATCATTCTGAACATGTGCACATGGAGGAAACTATCTTTGGAGGCTCTGCCAGATGGCACATCACATCTAGACTAGGCAACTACCTGACCCCGGCTCCCATCCTAAGGTAGATTACTTTTTTTTTTTAAAGATTTTATTTATTTATTCATTAGAGACAGAGAGAGAGAGGCAGAGGGAGAAGCAGGCTCCCAAGGAGCAGGGAGCCCGATGCAGGACTCGATCCCAGGACCCTGAGATCATGACCTGAGCCGAAGGCAGACGCTTAACCATCTGAGCCACCCAGGCGCCCGGTAGATTACTTTTTAAAAAAATCTTTTTTTTTTTTTTTCAATGCAGGGCTTGAACTCATAACCTTGAGATTAAGACCTGAGCTGAGATCACGAGTCAGATGCTTCACCCACTGAGCCAGCCAGGAGCATCTGAAAAATCTTTTTTATTCTGGTTAAAGACATACGGCATGAAATATACCATCCAATCATTTAAGTATGCAGTTCAGTAGAATTAATTCATTCACACTGTTGTGCAAACATTATCACCATCCGTCTCCAGAACATTTTCCTCATTGTGAGCAGAACCTATGTACCCATTACACACTAACACCCCATTCCTTCTCTGCCTAGCCCCTGGCAAACACCCTTCTACTTTCTGTCTTTGAACTTCTCTAGGTCCCTCATACAACTAGACTCACAGAATAGTTGTCCCTTTGTGCTTGGCTTACTTCATTTAGCATATTGTTTTCTGGGTGAGAGGACCTAATTTTATACCTTCATGGATTTATGACCTGGGGAGTGAAGGGTGGATGACCTGTTACCAGAAGCTTGACATCCTCTTCCAGCCTTATGGATGCTAAATCAGAACGAGCTCAATGAAACCTAAGCATTTTTATTCCAAGTGGAAGGGACAGAGGAACTCTTGATATCACAACCCAAGATATATTTTATTGACTGGTGTTGGCTATTGGCAGCCATAGAATTAATTTTCTTTCATTTGAAATAAATTCCACTCCCACCTTTCCCCCAAGACAGATAATGACCAAAGACTGAGAATGGGAATGGAGGGTGACAAATAAGGCCCTAGAAATCCTGGCCCAGTGAAGACCACAGGGACCTGTAGGAAATTGGCTTTTTGGGGACAAGTGATAAGGTCCTTTGGGGGAGGGGAGAGTAATAGGTGGGATCACAGACAACGGAGTGAGGCGTTGAGGGGAGCAGGTGTTCACACATTAGAGAAGTTGAAGGCACCACAAACTGCCTTCTTCAGCTCTTTTGTAAGTACCGGATGGATGAATACGCCAGTCGCGATCACTGCTCTGGAATGCGCGAGGTTTAGCTCAAAGCCCAGGGTCATCTCGGTGGACTGAGATCCCTGAGGTCTGTGATCCAGAGCAAACTGCTCCCCCAACACACAGCATTTAACACGTTGCTATCACATTTCAGGGCAGAAATCCTCAGACTTGGGGATTTCACAGAACAGTACGTTGTTTCAACTTAGGCAGTTGATGCAGGTTGGGTTGGGTTACCAACATTTCGGCTCCTTACACAAGACTAACATCCTTATTTAATAATACTCCTGCTTAATAGAAAGAAACAAAAGTCTACCAGAAACACCCAGTACTGTCATCATTTCCAAACAGGGTCTTTCTTTAGATTCGAAACATCGGGAGGAAATAAATACTTTGAATAAAGATCCTTCAAGGTATGCCGAACACACTTAGATTTATGAAAAGCCCTTTATGTGGTTCTTGTTTTTCTCATTTCACCAGAGACTGGTTAAAGTTCACCATGGAATTGACTGCTGGTTTAGAACATTCAGGAAGCCCACATCAGTCTTACTCTCTGTGCTATGCTCTGTCATGTATATACGATTCCACTGGGTTCTCACAAGAACTCATGTATGCAAATGAGCAATCTAAGATGCGGAGAAATTAAGATACGAACCCAAGGTTGCATAGCCAGTGAAAGAGCTGAGTTAGAAGCCCAGGGTCTTCTGCTCTATGGGGGGCGGGGTACTCAACCACAGCAGTTAAGATTTTATCATCTACTTGAATCTCCCTAACCTTCTCCCTAACCTTCTCCCTCCCACTGTTTTATTCAAGAACTCAGTTGGGGAAAATGTTGTTAAAAAGCTACTGATGGATTTGTCCGGGCACCTGCCTGGCTCAGTCAGTGGAGCATACGACCCTTGATCTCGGGGTTGTGAGTTCAAGTCCCATGTTGGGTGTAGAGATTATTTAAAAAGAAAATCTTAAAAAAATCTACTGATGTATTTGTTGAAGGACAGGGAGGAAGGAAGGGCAGGCAGGCAGGAAGGAAAACACACCAAATCCTATACCTTCAGATCATCTAGGTTTGATGGCAGTGGGCCTGGTTTGAGAGAAGAGACACCAGTTTGTCCAGAAAAGCTGTTTTTGACAGGAGACAAAGGGGTACTGCTCAGTGGTGTTGAAGTAGAGTTTGGATTTCTGACCATCTGTTCATTTGGCTCCCTGAAAACCAAACAAAAAAGAGGCACTTAAAATATGGGCAAATAGATATATGGGGGTGTAGTACCGGGATTTACAATAAGAAATTACACATTTAGTCCTTGTCCCTCTCTCTGGCACAGAGCTCCTAAAATCCTTGGAATCTCCTAAGTGATGAGAGCCACAGGGGTGTCAGCTGTTAGTGAGGCGACTTTGTGAAAGCCCCTAGGTCACCTAAGGATGGGGGCTGGTTGCCTGAGAACCAACCCTGTGATTTGAGGTTGAAACTTTCAGTCCCACCCCCTGCCCTCTGGGGAGAGGAGCTAGGCTGGAAGTTGACTCATTCACCAATGGCCAATGATTTAATCAATCATTGCCTCTAATGCAGTCTCCCTAACACCTAAAAGAATGGAGTTCAGAGAGCTTCCAGGTTGGTGAACACGTGGAGAACGAGGAGAGCGGCATGCTTGGGGTGGGGGCGTGGAAGCTCCTCGCCCTTTCCCCATCCCTTGCCCTGTGCATCTCTTCCATCTGGCGGTTCCTGAGTTACATCCTTCTATAATAAACCAGTGATCTCGTAAGTCAAGTGCTTCTCTGAGTTCTGTGAGCCGCTCTAGCGAATTAAGGGGACCCAAGGAGGAAATTGTGGGAAACTCTGATCTATAGCCCTGTCAACCAGAAGCCCAGGTCACAACTTTTAGACTTGTGGTTGGCACCTGAAGTTGGGGAAGGGGGGGCAGTCTTGTAGGACTGAGCCCTTAACCTGTGGGGTCTGATGCTGTCTGTCCAGGTAGATGGTGCCAGAATTATGTGGAACTGTAGGGCACCCGGCTGGTGATGTGGGGAAGGCCTCCCCCACACACTGGGATTGGGTGGCCAGAACCCTTGGTGGGTAGCTTTGCATTTAGATCAGGTCACAAGCTAATGGCCTGCAAGGATCAGGCAAGAAATCAATCAGTGGGAGAGGCGGGGCAAGGACACCAACAGTGCAAGCTCGGGGCCAAGTGGCAAGTGACGCTCTCTCTGGGGAGACAGGAGGGAGCCGTAGAGACTGTGGCATAGTGGAGAGTGTCCTGGGGGGGCAGGAGCACCCCTCATAAAGCATGGCTATATTCAGCACTCAGCATCATTGCCAACCCGACCTGAGGCTGAGCAGAGACCGGTGCGGGAACCCACACCCCAACTTCAGAGTTGAAGGGAATGGCCCATTTAAGAGGTGACCTGCCGTGGGGGTCACAGGCCGGGGTCCGAGAGTCACACTTTGGGTCTGGCCGTCACTCAGTCACTCGGCTCTGTTGCGTCCTAAAGCATAAGGGCCGAGTGAATCCAAGAAATGGAACCATTCTGAGACGGTCTCTCCTCTCTGCTCCACGATTCAGTCCAAGAGCGCTAATCCTTTCTCTTTTCCCAACCATGCCTCTTCCCGGGGCATTGATTTCGTTGCTTCCTCCCGGCCTTCTGCTCCGGAAAAGGTGGGCATGGTTCCCATTCTAAACCTACCAGACGAGGACGGGGTGCCATAGGGGACTGGCTGGGTGCCCGGGCACCGGCCCCGTGTGCCTCAGACACAGAGGAGCGCCCCCAGCCCTGGGCCCTCCCGACTTACTTGAGCTGAGCCTGGTGAAGCCCGGGGTAGCCAAGCTGGTGCTGTTGTTGCTGCTGGCTCAGGATCTGGAGCTGCAGAAAGAGCTGCTGCTGCTGGAGTAGCCGGGCGTAGGCCGAGTCCATGGGCGGAGGGGACTTCTCCGCCTTCTGGTCTGGGGGGATGTACTGGTGATATTTGAGCTTCTTCACCTTGGGCTTGGGGTCCTTGGGCTTTTTGTGGCGGTTCTTACTGTCGCTCAAGGGCTTGGACTGCGGAGGGGGTGAAGAAATGGCATGTGCTTTAGGTGGAGGGTGGGGGAGCGGGGAATGGCTGGATGCCGTGGCTAGACCGCGAGGAGGTTCTTCTGTTAAGACGGGCTTTCTCGGGGCGCCTGGGTGGCTCAGTTGGTTAAGCGACTGCCTTCGGCTCAGGTCATGATCCTGGAGTCCCTGGATCGAGTCCCGCATCGGGCTTCCTGCTCGGCAGGGAGTCTGCTTCTCCCTCTGACCCTCCCCCCTCTCATGTGCTCTCTCTCATTCTCTCTCTCTCTCAAATAAATAAATAAAATCTTTAAAAAAAAAAAAAAAGATGGGCTTTCTCGAATCCCAGAGATACGATCTAGCAAAGGCACAAGGTGCCAGGAGATCCTGGGGCATTGAGGTACCTGTCGAACGGATCTACTGCAGGTGCCTCAATCTAGAAGGGGGGGTGGGCATGAATCCCAGATGTGGCTCTGGGAGCATTTCCTTCCCAGCGCAGAGTAAGACGGAAGCCTGCGTCTCGGCTAGGACGCTTTCCTTGGCTAAAACCACAGATGGCCTAGCAAAGGACACGATCCGATCTTGAGATGGAGTCGTAAGAAGTTCCTTCCCACGTATACACGAAACCGCCTTTAGTGAAGCACTCGGTAAACTGACTTATGAATGACGTCACCTTGGATGAAATTAAGCTTGTCTTTGATGGGGATTTTTGCAACTTTGGGCGGGAAAGTCAGATAGACTCCCCCATCCCACCAACACCCCAAATACGGATATAACCCCAGGAGCTGACACCCTCTGAGAGAGTGACACTTGACTTACTATGAGAAGGGTTCGCCACCCACTGGGACCCTTCTAGAAGCTTCCCATCCCAGAGCGTGACTTGGACACACTGAAAGAAGTCAAGGCTACAGGCTAGGAAGTTAAGACCAAGTTCTGAACACGGTGCAGGTACTTTGCTACATCTCCCTTACCTCACCGGACAGTTGAGGAAAATATTCTTACTTTTTATCTCAGGGACCAACACAACGATGTGGAAAGATATTAGTCACAGAAGAACCGGTCTCAAAGGATTATACCTACACCTACGCTCCTGAAATCAAAAGGCCTCCCTATTTTAGGAGGCAGTAGTCCATACTGTCATCAGTTGAAAGAAAAATCTTAACTTTCCAGCCCTGACTTTAATTAGAGAAGCCTGAAATGAAGAACGTGGATGTCATGACCGGCCTCTTGAGGCTTTGGGGGAAAGGTGCAGGGGAGGTGTGATACCAGCAGCGTCCAGAAGAGGGAGCTCCAGAATACCTGGCAGGCACGTTCCCACCTGGCAGCCTCCCCATTTTAACCGCGAAGCACACATCTGGAGCCTACAACTTGCATTTCTCTGACTCCAGGCATCCCACCACCGAAGCCTCTTTTGTAAACGTTTTCTTAAGGAGGCTTCTTCTCGGGAAGTAATAGATAAGGAGCACAAGAATTCCCGTGTGCCTGGTGGCTCGATTTCTCCCGGCTCCTTCATTGATTAGCATTCTAGCTAATTAATCAGTCTCCTGCACTCGCTTCTGCCATCAGCTCAGCCCTACTTTGCTCCAGCTCAGCTTCTGTTCCCACCTCACCCTAGGACTTGCCTCCTCGTCTGGGGGAGCTGCAGGCCAGTCAGGGACGGGGAGCTTTTCTCCATGTTGCCTTAGTACAGGGATGCTGAACATTCCAGAAGTTACTCAAATTGGACCGCTTTCTCTGGAGAGTGGAAGGCAAAGTCTTTTGAGCCCATGGAACCCTGATTCCATGGACTGTATAGTTTTACACTCTTTTTGAAACCAGAGGATACAAGGTGGTAAGTTTGTTTGTTTGTTTGTTGTTTTTTTCTATTTTCTGCCTAGAACTGCATGGTCTATGGGAGGTAGATACATCATCCAGGGGTTTAAGACCCACGCGTGAATGTGTAAAGCAGGTCAGTGTAGTGCAAGAGGGCATGGCGTGGTCTGTGGCTAGAGGGTCCATGACTTTTTTGCAAGAAGTCTTGCTCGCATCCTGGGCCTGCCCCACAACGTACCACCCCAGCAGCCTACAATCAGTTTGCCTGTCCTGCCTCGCAAGACCAAGTCCCAAACCCCCTCTGCCAAAGAAGACCGGTCACCCAGCTGCCTGACCCCTCCCACCCAACAGCTTACCCCTCCGGTCTCTTTTCCTTGCAATTTCCTGCTGTCTGCAATTCCCTCCTGCACCTGCTACCCGACTAGGGCTCATCCTCTGCGTTTGGCTCACACCCCAGCTCCCCTGGGAAGCCTTTCCCAATTCGCAGTGAGGTCTCTCATTTGCAGGTCTCAGATGGCATTTCGGGGCTGTCTGGTAATGGTCCACCACTGCATACCCTGCTCAGGGGGTGGGGGAGACTGAAGTCCAGCCCCTGTTCTGCTTCTTATGCTACGAGTCCTGATGGAGGTGGTGCCCCCCACCCCGCCAAGAAAGGGGTCTCTCATTCTGTATCTCGGTAAAATACAACAGAGAAATCACCCCAGTAACTATTTTAAAGTATACGATTCACAATGTTGTGCAAGCATCATCACTAAGTAGTTCCAGAAAATTTTCATCACCCCGAAAGGAAACCCCATCCCCACGAAGCAGCCCCTCCCCATTGTCCTTCTGTGGTCCCCGGACAACACTCATCTGCTCTCTGTCTCCATGGACTTGTCTATTCAGGATATTTCATATAAATGGAATCCTACACTATGTGGCCTTTTGTGTCTGGCTTCTTTCACTCAGCATCGTGTTTTCAAGGCTCATTTCTGTGTCAGACTTCATTCCTCTTTATAACTGAAGAACATCCCATTGTGTGGATATGCCACACGCGGACCCATCCTTCAGCTGATGGACATTTGAGTTCGTTCCAACTTTTGACTATTGTGAATAGTGCTGCCATGAATATTCACATCCAAGATCTCGTTAGAACACCTGTTTTCAATTCTGTGGGGCATATACCTAAGGAGAGGAATTTCTGGGTCATATGGTAATGCTAGGTTTAACTTTTTGAGGAACCACCAAGCTGCTTTCCGTAGTGGACGCACCATGTGTGAGAGCTCCAATCTCCACATTCTCACCAATACTTGCAATTTTCCAGGATAGCCATTCTAGTGGGTGTGAAGTGGTATTTTGTTGTGAGTTTGAGTTTCATTTCCCTGATGACTAATGACACTGAACACCTTTTCATGTGCTTATTGGCAATTTCTTTATCTTTGGCGAACTGTCTGTTCAGTTCCTTTGCAGCATGTTTTTCTTACTTGCTCCCAACACTGTTTGGGTTAGTGGTGGGCTATGAAACTCAGTTAGACTATAGGCTCCTTGAGAGCAAGAATCTTTTTTTTTTTTTAAGATTTTATTTATTTTGAGAGAGAGAGAGCACGAATGAGGGGGGAGGGCAGAGGGAAAAGGAGAAGCAGGCTCTCCACTGAGCAGGGAGCCCGATGGACATGGGGCTCGATCCCAGGACCCCAAGATCACGACCTGAGCTGAAGGCAGACGCTCAGCCGACTGAGCCACCCAGGCGCCCCAGGAATCGTGTTTTATTCAGCTTTGATATATACCTTCTAGGAGCCTGCACTGAAAACACCTTTCCCTTACATAGGATTTTACAGTTTTGGGGGAATTCTTGTGCATTCTCTCAGTGGTCTCATATGTATCTTAGAAAGTCAGTAGGTCAGAGATGTTTCCCCTGAGCTGGGCTGCTTCCTTCTTTTTTTTTTTTTTTTTTTTTTTTAAAGATTTTATTTATTTATTTGAGAGAGAGAATGAGAGAGAGCACATGAGAGGGGGGAGGGTCAGAGGGAGAAGCAGACTCCCTGCCGAGCAGGGAGCCCGATGCGGGACTCGATCCAGGGACTCCAGGATCATGACCTGAGCCGAAGGCAGTTGCTTAACCAACTGAGCCACCCAGGCGCCCGGCTGCTTCCTTCTTTGAGAAGCCCTGTAGTATCCTCTTCATTTAGACACGATGAGTATCGAACAACTGAGAATTCATAGACATTGACCAATCAGCAGGGAGACTGGCTCTTATATAAACAACCAGTCCTGCTAGATCAGTGACCTGTCAATCCTGCTCTCCGTTGAAACTGACCTGTCTTTCCTCTGGGCAACTATCACGCTTCCTTAGTGCACTGAGGCTGAAGGAGGCGCTAATTTGGCTTATGCAAAATTTAAACACGTTGGTAGAAATAGTAATAAAATTTCTCTTTGTACATGACGGTAGAAATAACGTGAACCATCTCCTTCCTCCACCGGCAATGAACAAAGTTCATCAACAGTCAGTGTAATCTCAAAGCTGCTGGGCTGAGTGAATTGTAAGCGAGGTTTAAGCTACTTAGGGAGTGAATTTGAAGCGAGGTTTAGGGACATTTACAGGAAACTGAAAGTCCTGCCGTCCACTTTTGTGTATATGCATGCAATGGAGGGGACTCGGCGGTCATTACTTTAACACTGATTCTTAACTTACGATCTTTTGAAAAATATTTCATAAAAGACATCTCAGCTCTCATTAAGTGGTGACCCTAGAGCTGAGATAACCTGCTCCCAAATTGATGAGAAGTTATTTGGGTTAGGGGTGCCTGGGTGGCTCAGTTGTTAAGCGGCTGACTCTTGATTTCAGCTCAGGTCATCATGATCTCAGGGGTGTGAGATCGAGCCCCACGCTGGGCTCTGTGCTGGGTGTGGAGGTTGCTTAAGATTCTCTCTCTCCCTCTCCCACTGCTCCTCCCCCCACCCCCCAACAAAACAAAACTAAACTAGTAAGTTACTTGGGATAAAATATTATGAAGAAGACCAAATGATTATTAGCAGGCAGTTAATTGGTAAGAGGAGAGAGTCCTCTGTGAACTAATAAGTATAACGCGAAGAAAAGGTAACCAACAATCTGCTATGATGCTCATGGTCTACTGGGCAGACAAGCCCTCCCTTTATCTCCAAAGGGAGCCGGACTTACATGATTGAGGTATTATATGACGCAAAGGCTTCAGATCTGCTTCCCCTGCGTAAAACCCAACTCCCGCCTCCCACCTATTTGATGACATTTACAAATCCTGTGTGCGTTCCCATCAGCCGCGTCTGTCTCTAGGCTGACCTTATGAAGTCTTTTAAGTCAGGCACACGCTCTGGCTGAGCTGTGATTCCAAAGAAATGCAGGCACATGGGTTCTTCTTCTGCGGGGAAGACCCACGCTGTGCCGACACAGATAACAGACTCTTGGTCCGCATACACGGATGGCCCCTCTCCCCTCTCCTGACTTGCAATGCTCCCGGCGGACTGAGCCTACACACGGGTCCGTGTGACTCTCCTCACCTAACTCCCACCGAACCGCCACACCTAACTCCAAGAGCTCTGCTCCCAGTGGGCTCTGTGGGCGAGCGCTCTGGCAGGTGCCAGGAGGCTGGTCCATCCCTACCTTTACGGCAGCATGCACAGCGATGGGGTTACCAAGAGGGCCGAGCCCCTGCGTCCCCGTGTCTGACTGGTTGCTGGGCTGGGAGGCTGAGTCTTTCCTGTCATTTTCGGAGCCAGAAGAATGATCCTGAAATCCAAATTTCAGCATGAGTCGGATGCAGGAGGAAAAACTGTATGGGGCAGAGATAAAGTAGAGCCCCCCCATCCCCCACCACATACACGGCTCTGTTGTTTTCATCTTCACTTCATATTCAAGTACATATCACATGACCTCCCCGGGGAAAGGAGTCATATATAATCTGTCAACCAACTGAGGTCACTTTTGAGAGATAAAGGGGTCGTCATTCATCATTATTTCAGAAGACAGGAATAGAAATGGCCTGTTCTAAAATAATGCAATATATGTTAAGAAAGAAAAAAAAGAAGAAGAAGAAGGTAGCAGGAGGGGAAGAATGAAGCGGGGGAAATCGGAGGGGTAGACGAACCATGAGAGACGATGGACTCTGAAAAACAAACAGGGTTCTAGAGGGGAGGGGGGGTGGGAGGATGGGTTAGCCTGGTGGTGGGTATTGAGGAGGGCACATTCTGCATGGAGCACTGGGTGTTGTGCACAATGAATCATGGAACACTTCATCTAAAACTAATAATGTAATGTATGGGGATTAACATAAGAATAAAAAAAATAATAATAATAAAAAAAAAAAGAAAGAAAGAAATGGCCTGTTCTAGGCCAACCCAGACAGCTGGTCACCCTGAGTGAGGGTTCCACCTATGACGAGGTCCACCTGTTAGACCTGATAAGGAGACTGATGAAAAAAAGGAAGAGGGAGGAGTAGGTGTAGGAATCTGGGGGGAAAGTAGGACCGAAAAAACCGATAAAAACGGTGTTAGCAGATGGAGGGAAAATGCATGAGTGTGTATATATGTTTGTATGTTTGCATATGTATGTGTGTATATGTTTGTATGTGTGTGCATGGGTCTGCATATATGTGAATGTGTCTATACATATGTGTGCATGTGCATATATGCATAGCTCTGTGCATGTGTGTATGTGTATATGTATGTGCTTATGTAATTTACATGCATGTGTATATATGTAGGTGTATGTGTGTGTCTACGTATGGGTGTGTGGGTGTAGTGTCATGAACAACCTCTGTACATGGGGGACTGGGAAAAAGGGTAACTGTCTTCTGTCCCTCTCCTGCAATCTGATACTGTGACCAAAAGGGACAGGGGCTGCTCATACTCGCCTGGAGCTTCTCCGCCCTTTCCTGAGCCCTGGCACCTGCAAAGGTCTGCAGAACCCTTGCCTCTCGAGCCTCAGTGTCCTGATCCGCTAACTGGGGCTGCTGGGTGCAAGGACAAAATGATTTTTGCCCCGGGCCTGGCATCGCCTTGTGCTTGTTCCCTTTGACCCCTTCTCCTGGGTTAAGTGGAAAAGAACTTGTCTTCTCCTGAAACCATTCTGCAATCAGAAGCTGAGGAATTCACCATCAGAATAACAGATACAAGTGATCCGAGATACTGTCTGCTGTTATCAGAGAAGCTGAGCTGCAAAGACCAGGTGTGGCACGCAGGGACACGGAAAGTGCTTTGATTATAAACCCGTGCACAGTAAACGTATGGATCTGCTTGTTAGCTCTCGTTTCCTCCCATTCCACATCTTCTCCTTGGCAGCCCCAGCTTTGCTCCCTTCATGGTGTGCAGAAGGGTATGACAATGACTATTAAGTATCATGGTTTCCAGAATAGGGCTCTGCATGATGATTACCCAAGCTGTCCCTGATACCCCTATGGCCATTTCCAGTGTAAACCATGTTTCAAATAGAATATCAAATTTCAACGCATCACATAATTCCCAGGAGGCCATGAGAACCAAACTCTTCCTAAAAGGGGGGTTCTCTGCAGAGTCCGTGGGTGAAAGACTCACATCTCGCTACCACACTAGTACATCTCCTTCCCCCCCCTTTTTTTGTGTGTGTGTGTGTGCACATGCCCACACATCTCCTCCTCGGGGCTGCATGAATACCATCATGCAAGGCTGAGGGAAGCCCCCATCAAGCTATTCTCAGGTTGGGCTGGATGTGGACCTTGCTGTGGTTTGGCAGGTAGAAATCTGTAAGGGTAGAACCATCTCGGGGCTCCCTGCTATGCAGCCAATCGGCACCTCCTGCTCCACACAACCCCCCCCCAGGACCCTGTAGAGATTTCTCAGTGTGTGGAAAGCCTGTGGGCTTTGAAATCGGTCCTGCTCTGGCACATTCTATCCGGGAGATCATCGGTGACTCAGCTGATCTCACTGAGTCTCTTTTTACCTTGTCCATAAATTTGGCAGATAAAAGGCATCCACTTGGCAGAGTGGACGCTTAAAGAGTAAGTCAAAGGGTATAGTCCTGAGGATTCTCTTTCAGGGTTTTCTAGAGGTTTTGGCCACCGCACACTGATCCCTGGACTGGATGGGGACAAAAGAGGCATGAAGTTCAAGTGCCATCAAAAGACATCTCTGGGGTCTCTACGCAAAACTAAAGGTGGCGATGTGCTTTTAAGCCCACGAAGACACGGTAGGCTGAGGTGGGATTTATTTACCTGGACTGGCCCCAGAGGACCTGCCAAAGGGGTCTCTGAAGCTTTAGTGTCCGCAGGGGATCCCGCTGAGCCCTGGGGGTCTTCGCTTCGAGTCTGGTCTGGAGAAAGCCCATCGCCGCTGCTGTCCTCTTCGAAGGCAAATGCATCTGCCGATTTGGAAAAACTCACCTGGTTACCTGATGGGGTAAAATCCAAGAACGGGGTCAGTGGCTGAGGCACACCAAAGGGCTTTCTGGAAATGCTTCGCTGTGGCATCCCTACCAGGAGCAAACATCTATCTCCTTAGATCTGTTTCTAGGGTCAGTGGCTGAGGCACACCAAAGGGCTTTCTGGAAATGCTTCACCGTGGCATCCCTACCAGGAGCAAACATCTATCTCCTTCGATCTGTTATCTTCACCTAAGAGTGAAGTTAGGTTTTAGCTTTATGTGGCATCTCATCGATTTACTCCAAATGGGAACTTGTGTTTATAAAAGGGATACGTCCAGCAGGGAAGAAGGCAGGGCGTATTAAAGGTCTCCCGTCGCTTGGTCAAGTTTATCTTCAGGTTTATGCATTCCTGCGCATTTTGGACGTGAGACCCGTTATCTTTCTGAAACGCAGTCAGGGAAGATGAAGGAAAGAAAGGGGCCACTGGATACAGACGAGGCCAAAGGAGATTGCAGTGGGAGGGTACCCGTCTCCCTCAGGTTCTACGACGAGACAGAGAACTGAAATGACAACATGCCATTGGCATCACGTTCAGATATAAAGCGGGGCACACGGCACAAAGTGTTTCGCAAACTTTGCTCTTCGGGATAAGCCAGACCCACTACTGAGTCTAAATTCCTAAATGTCGGAATTAGCTCACATCACCAGTGTTACAAAGCCCCTTTCAACGAACGCACAGCTGATTATAAAAGCCATAAATATGTCCCGGAAACTGCAGCGTGATCTTTTAAAATTATTATTATTTGGATTTCCTTTGTATGCTTCCTAGCTCTGTGTCTATTTTGGAAACCCTCAACAGCTGGGAAGGCAGAAATTCTTCCTCGGAAGGCTGCGTGGCCTTTGGAGGGGAGTGGGTTCATCAGCTTGGGGAAAGGGGCTCTCCAATCAGGTGGGACTACAATGACAACCTTATACGTCCCGTATGGGTTTTTGTTTGTTTGCTTGTTTGTTTTTACATCGCCAAATTGTATCTGGATTATTATCCAGCTACACAGTACAAAATGTGCTCAGGCCCCAGAAACGCTTCTGACCCGACCCCAGGCTCAGCTCTTCTAAAGGAATTTAGGTATTATCGGAAGTTTCCCAGCCCGGCGTTGTGCAATCACACGGACAAGAACTTTTGACTCCTGCTTTGGGCAGATAAGAGAGGGGAGCTTTCCCGGTGGAGATTGGAAAAGCAGCAAGGAGCAGCAAGAAATGGAACAAGTGTACTTCTGGGCTTGTCATCACCACCACTGCTGATATCTGTCACGGACCCTCCAGACATCCAAGTGTCAAAGTGGGAAAGAGCCAGAAAGGACAGGGCAGGTGGAAATTTCAGATGCTGCTCCCCCCACCCCCACCCCCGCCGCCGCGGGGGACCCCACCAACCTGGAAGGACTTGGGGACCAGCGTGGTGGCTCCACCACTTCAAGGACTGTTTATAAACTTATAAGTGCTTTTCTATGATGCTGAATGTAATGGTTACTTATGAGAACCATTCTTACCATATGAAGATGCCTAATGTATGTATTCATCCCACTTCCTGTTAATGATCTGGTGCCTCTTCGAGATCTAGTTCTGTATATACAATGAAACATACACACAGGCACAAAGTATTTCACTTACACAGGGCTGGTGAAATATTCTGAAGCTTGCCTTATTCTCGCTACAATGTTACTTAGGAGTCCTTTCCTTGGGGGCACACAGAGATAGTCCTCAATTAAAAAAAAAATTTTTTTTTTTTTTTGCAACAACTACACAGTATTCCATTGTGTTGTTGGAAACTTTTTATTTTTCAACTTCTATTTTCAGAGGTGTCCTTTTTTTTAAACCATAAAAAATTTGAAATAAGAAAAAAGTACAGAGGATAATGTAAAAGATTTGTTTACCTATTCCCTGAAATAAATAAATTCTAGCTTTTTTGGATATTTATGTCAGCAATGCATTCGTTTCCTAAGAGAGGGGTTTCACTGGGTATTTGATAAATGCCACCTTTTTCATTTGAGATCGGGGGTCATTCTTCCCCCCTTCAGTACTCTCAAACACTCACCTTCCTATTTTAAGAATCCAGCCTTATGCCCTTCCCTTCTCTTACGGGGAACCCTGGGCTCTACAAATAAACCTTTGTCACTGAAATTTCAAGTCCTACTTCTGCTGGTGGAGAAGGCTTTGTCCCTGTTCAAAGGCTTACCTGTGTTATTAAGGGCCAGGGAGACACAGGAGGGTGGTGGAGGACGTTAAGCCTTCCCCACCCCAGAAATCACAGCATTTCGTTGGATCTGCTCGGCACATGCCCTGAGCTGACATCAAGTCCATGCTCAGAGAGCCCTGCATGTGAGTGTGTTGGCCCCTCAGGGCAGGCGGTCTTCTCTGCTGGACAGGACCCTCCATCTGAAAGCTTTATGGTATTCCCTCCTGACTGCCCTCGGTCAAACTGGGTATAGAGCTTCTCCATGAGATCTCATCCTCCATGGGACAGAGACTCCCCCACCCCGTGGACCCCCACCATCTCACCCACACCCACACCGAGGATCACATCCCAAATATGCACACATCAAAGGAAGTTCATCACATCACAGAGGTGTCCGAATATTCTAACATGTGAGTGGAAAAGTTACAAGAGGCAGGCAGGGAGAAGGAAAGAGGATGGTTTCTTTTCTTATCTGCAACATCCCACTTTGTTTCAAATGGAGCAAACGCAAATGATAAGAACAGTTTGTATCAGGAATTCACTTAGTAGTCGTAGTAGTAACAAAAGACATCAACCTTTGTTGGGTCTCAAGTCAGAGTAGGGGCCCGTTTTCTCCTCACGGTTTTGGGGATGAGGATAAGCAAGTCATACAGGGACTGTGCCAAGACGGCAGTGTGAACGCTCAGAGCCACCAGCAGAGGGGGGCAAAACCCACTACCCTCCCTGGAAGCCATCAGGTGGCAGCATGTCATTTAGGGAACACCCACCGGGTAAGGGAAGGGGGAGGTAGCAGAGAAAATGCCTCTCTCTTTTTTTTTTTTTTTTCTGCACACAGTGCACTAAGGATATCTCCAGATTCCACAGCATCTTGTACTTGAGTTTTTGAGATGTAAGGGACGGATGGTGACACCAGGATCGTGAGGACGGAGAAGGGGGGACATTCTGGGGAGGGTGGTCATGATGATTTCATGGGGACTCGTCTCAGAAGAGGGTTGGAAGGATTGTGGAAGCCCCATTGTTGCCACTGGTTACTCAGCCTGCCCTTCCCACTTGGGCATCTGGCAATCTGGTGACCTTGGATCGAGGCACTAGGATTATGTGGAAAAGTCTCCAAGTGGAGTATCTGGAACAAAGGAGTTGGGCATCTGTCCCATTTTCCCTAGAGCTGGACAGAGCATTCCCTGGTTATTTCGTTCCCATCCAAGCTTCCAGATTTAGGAGAAGGAGAGAAGCAGAAGAAAAATCAGCTATGATGTCGGGAAGAGCTGATCTCCATGGGACACCATCAGAGACATTTGTCAAGGACGAGAACCGCCTGGCGAGCGCTGTCCCAGACAGACGGAGGAGATCTCAACGCAGGAGACTCCTGGAGGAGGCAGGATTGGGTTGAGTGTGAAATGACCGCCAGCTGTGGACAGGACGACAGACAGGGAGGGGTCACTTGACCTTCCTGGGGGGGGGCAGCGAAAGGGACGTTAACGGAGTGGCGAAGAGCAGAGCGGCAATGGGAAGGGGAGGAAGAGATTCCCCCCCCACCAGGGGACAGCATTATTTTGGGAGCCAATTCCTGGACAGACACAGCTTCCGGGAGTTACTTTATCAAGTGACAGGCAATCAATTAAAGAGGTTTTTCTAAGTCAACGGAGAAGCCATGTGTTCATGCAACCACATACGGGGGAGTCCTTTACTCCTGGACGAGCCAACACGGTGAGGACAAAGGCCCCACATGGGACTCCTTTTTGTCTGATCCCTAAAAGGCCGCACATGCCAAGTCAGCATATGTCACTGAGGACCATGTCGTCACTGTGCAGGCACAAAGACCCTGCCTCGGGGCCGGGGGCCGGGGGCTGCCAATCACCACTGTCTCAGGGCTGCAAGTGCCTTGGATTTGTGACCAAGTGGCTTGGAGTGTGCCCCCCACCCAGCAGCACATCCGGCTCAGCCCCTGTTGGTGTGAGAAACGGAACAGCCGAGAGGCGCTCATAGCCAAGGACAGTGGCTTCCTTCAGAGATGATGGATCGACTTCGGTTCTGGACTCTGGCGGTCTTGGTTTGTTTCTTGGTCCTACCCCTCCAGTGCTAGAGTCTGCTGGCAAGTTACTGAACCTCCCAGAGCCTCAGGGTCCCCATCTCTAAGATGAAAATAGCAGCCATAGTTACTGTCAAGGTTTCGAGGATTCAAACAACGGAGTGGGTGCGAAGTGCTGAGCCCAGTCCCTGGATGGGCAAGAGTTCCGTCCTTTCTAGCCGTGGGAATGACAGTTATTGCTTTCGTTAGGAGTAGCCGCTTGTCGCAGGTTTGCCATTATCAAAAATAAACAAGACCACCCAGGAGGCCGTTTGTCCGGCCCTCAGCTTGGCAAAGATCAGCGCAACTCCAGACCTAGAAAAACTGGCTTGTCCTCACGGGGTCATCCTAGGAAAGCCCAGACAGACCCTCCCTGGGGCCAGAGAGTCCTGGGAAAGGCTGCTTGTCACTCCCTCTCCCTCCTGGTTCAAGCCAGGAGAGGCACAAAGGTCACCTTATGGGGCTGCCTCGGGAACAACCCAGTCTGTTGGCTTTGTGCTGTGACCCTGGGCCTCTGCTCTGATCTCTCCCCCAGCACGAGGCCTCCTGGGAGCCGCTGGAGTGCGGTGTGCAGGCTAATGTCCCTGTAGACACATCAGGCGGTGCGGTGACAAGGACCCGCTTTGGGAAGCCCTGACATCATCCTCCAGCTATGCCTGCAGGGCCGGCTCTGGGCACCAGCCCCTGGGCGATGTCGGCCCTGCGACTCTGAGCTTTCCCCATCCC